TCCGCTTGTCACTGCATGTGTGCATGTGTTTACACACACACACAGAGTAGCCTGCTTCTGATGAGCTGCCTCTTCTGGTTTTTATTTCATATCTTAGGTAGATAATTACTTCACAATGGTAGAATTTTCAGTGTAAGCTGGTGCCTGTCTCGGCTTTCAGACCTTTCAGGTTTGAGAGGGCAGTGGAGGGAGTATTGCTGAGTGAAGGCTGTGTTGTGCAGTTGAAGTAGCCAGCTGAGGTTGGCATCTTGGGCTCTAACTCGGTGGTTTTCAACCCAGCCAAACATTATAATCTTGTGATGGAGCTTTAAAGGTACCCATTTCAGAGATTCTGCTTCAATTGGCCTTTGTAGTTGAAGTTGATTGGCCTGGGCATTGATAAATCCAAAAAGTCCCTCAGATGACTTGAATATGCAGCTGGGGCCGAGAACATCAGTGGGGCCGAGAACCTCGGTCCTAATTGGACATCATTGGACGTTACCTAAAGCTGTGGTTCTTAAACTTTAACAGCATCACCTGGAGGGCTTGTTAAACCATTGATTGCTGGGCCTCACCACAGAGTGGTAGATCTGGGGTAGGGTGTAAGAATTTGCGTTTCTATATTCCTATTTGATACTGATGGCTAAGTGACCACACTTTGAGAAACACTGACCTAAAAGGAGCTACCTATTTTCATTGTAAAGATTTGATTTCTACTCCTCTGGAAGACTTTCTTTTTTAATCAACATTTTTGGGGCATCTACTTAGTTTCCATTCTTTGCCAGAGCTGAGAATGTGGAGGAGTAAGATGACCTCAAGGAGATCGTGGTCTTACGTATCTAGAGCTTCCCAGTGTAAGAGGAGAGTTTTTCTTTTCCTTTACGTTTTCTTGTTCAAATTAGTATCCCTTATTTTATGTAGGTTTTCTTATGTTCTTCGCCACTGCCCCCTGTTAGATCTAGTGATGATTTTGAGTACACAATTCTGTACCACTGCGATTTGTTAAGGTAATGAGGCTGTGACTGTGGCTTGATTCCACTGTAAGAAAGCCAGTTTTAAAAATATTCCTACATGTAGAAAAATCTTTCCCAGTGTCCGTCCTCCTCCTTTTGGCTGCTCTAACTCATATTAAAGTGAGAGTGAATTTATCTGTCCTGAAAGATATCTTTCTGGTTCTCCTTGCTATGCTTCCTGCTACCCCCTTTTAAAAAACTGAAGTTATGTTATTGTTGGCTGTTTTTTTGTGTTTAGGATGTACCCAGCTAGTATATACATTTTGCAAATGCTGTTGATAACTATTCAAACTATTATATCTGCTGTTTGTCATGTCAAAAATTTTTCATGTTCAGTGATCCTCAAATTTTGTCCTGTGGAACATAGATTCATAGAATTGACCTGAACTTTCCATACTAAAGTTAAATGAAAGTAAACTTCTCCCAGTTTATGGAAAAAACATATAATGCATAGTTTTTCCAATTCTAAACTCCCTCTCTTTTTTCTTTAAGCTCAACTTGGTGTGAATGTTATCTGCTTGAGTATAAAATTCTCTATTGTATTGATTTAAGTAGCAAATAGTAATATTGCGTAGTCATCTGTCAGGAATCCTTTTCCTTCTTGGTGATTTACTCCCTAACTATGTTTGAAAACCAATTACTTTTTTTAAAACTCTTGATATAAAAATATTGGTTTAATGGTGGAACCAATTCTTATAAATGCACATTCAGAAGAATAATGATAAAGAAAATCAGGCAGATTGTAAGTTAGTAGCTGTAAATATTTACAGCTATTAGTATATGAGAAAAAATATGTATAACAAAGAAAACCAGCCTTCTGGAAACTAAAGTTTGATGAATCTTCTAAAGTCCAGTGAGCTAAGGCTTGTCAAATGATGCAAAGTGTGCATGCTGAGCAGCTGGTCTGAGTTGGCTTAAAAAGGGAGGCTACATTTCTGTGGCTTCCTTTTTCCAGTTCATAGAACTTCCTGGGTATTGGTTTTGCCATCAGTTAGAATCCATCTCAATATACCTTCAGAACACTGGCACTTCTGACTGTAACGTTATGTGGTCTTCAATGAAGCTGTGTAAGTGTTCTTCCTTCACTGCAAATGACACCAAACAAGAAGATAAGAATGGGAGGTGGAAGTAGAAATGGAAATTCTGAATAGCCACACAGCATTGGGGAAATAGATGGAATTAGTGCAGAGGTGGGGCCCAGGAGGCTGGTAGCAATTTTTCTGAATCCATCCCCTATTGAACCATGGCTATCTGTGCTTCAACAGAATGTGCCCAGGATCTGATACACATTTCGGTGGGTCTCAGGGAATTCCCTAGTGGCCATTAACCATTTGCTCTACTTGGAACTTTGGGTCTGTTTTCAAGAAGTAGCATTGGATGGGGCTAGGGTAGCAGAGGGGATGAGTTAGGAAGGCCTCAATGTTTGTTTAGTGGTTTGGTGAGTGTTTTTGAAGACTCTTGAGTTCCTTTCCTCTCCCTCCTCCTAACTTCTTCCGTCTCAAGTTATGAGCCAGGTTACTCATCATGTAGATGTTTTCATGAGTAAGCATGGTAGAATATAAACACCTTTCCATAAATAATATGAATAATAGATACCATTTATTGAATGCTTTAACTGTGTGGCCTTTTTGTTAAGCACTTTATGCAATTATCTCCTATCACGCTTTCAACCATCCAGGACTTCCCATTTTATAGGTGAGGAAAGTGAGGCTGAGAGGTCAGTGAACTAGCTCAAGGTCACACAGCCAGTGAGTTTAGAGGTCAGACCTGTCCCCCAGTCAAGGGTGGTCTGATACTAAAGCCATGTTCTTAATTACTTGACTGTACGGATACTACAAACTGGTGGTGTTAGGAGAAATTGGGAGATTCTTGATTTCTGGCATGTGCTGTATTATATTAGTGGTTAACATAAGTTATGGTCAGTTGGAAACTGCTTATAGTGTGGCTCAGTGGAAAGACCAACACATTAGGAGATGGAAGATTTGGCTCAGAAAACACTTAGAAATATAAGCACAAATTGGTGGTATATCTGACTTTGGGGAAATAGTGACCCTTTTTGAGTCTTGGTTTCCCCTTCTGTAAAATGGGGGCAATAATATGCTCTCTTCTAGTCTCAGATTTGCTATGAGGATCCAATCAGATAATAGTCATGCTTTAAAAACTGTAAAGTGTTCTATACACATTAGGTGACATGGCTTAGAAGTGTTGGGGTCGCTATATGGATTGTTTTCTCCTGTGCCCTAGACCGAGGGAGAATTACCAAGTGAAAGCTTTGTTTCTTTCTCTCACAGAGGTGTAGTCCAGGTTGTGAGCACTGAATGTGCATTTCGGGATCAGTAAGTAGAAGAATTTAGGGCCAGGGAAGTTCGCCCTGAAATAGCATTGCCCAGGGAAGGCTTTATAAAGTACACGGCATAGTGAATTAATTAGATTTTCAAGGGTGTGGTACTCAGCCAGAGCAAGAATAGTTCGCTTTGTGGAAACTTACCTTTGCTTTTAAAAGGAAACTCAACCAAGTACCTAGGGTCACCATATGCCTTTTAAAAAATGTTACTTATGGACTGTCTTGAGACGTGGAACTCAGGGAATTGCTCTGTCTTAAAGAAGAGGATGGAGGCATTTCCGTCTTTTCCAATAGCGTTCGTCTTACCCCACCTTTCTCAGAATATAGACCTGAAAGGAGGGAATCTTCTCCTGAAACCTTTAGGTCAGCACTATCATCAATCTTAGGTTGGTTATCAGTCTATTTTTTCCTTCTTAATTGAATAGCAAAGAACACTAACTAATTCAGGATTTTAAAAAGATTACAAATTCTTATGGATAAAAATAGCTTTGGTGGTTACAAGTACTCAGTTGAAATTAAAAGAGTTATCAGTCTTGCTTTGGGAAACAAGGTGATCAACCAACAGGTTTCAGAAAAACTACCTCTCTCATTCCAATGATTAGTTAATAAAATTATTCCTGACAGTGGCGGGCCGAGAAGCTCAGGCAGTTACATATTTAGAGACAGAGAATCCATTGTCCAAAGATCTCAGAAAAGCCTTTGCAAACACACAGAAGGGATTTAGAACAATTTGCATAAATCTCCCCGTGGATAGCGACATGGCTCCAGTATTGGGGTGGTTCCAGGAACCCCTCCTTGGCTGTATCATGGGGTAACGCTGTGCTTGGTGAGAATTCAGTCTCATGACGGTTTTTGCCAGCAGGATTGGGTGATGGGGTGCTGAATAAGCCCACTGTTTGGTTCCACATAAGGACTCTTTTGTGTTGGCCTGGGCCAGCCATGTTCAAGTTTGTCTTGCTTTTTCCCCAATGATGTTTTTGGACTTTGTGGGCTGGAGAATTAAAATTAAGCACAACACCTATTCTGAGCGAATCTGTCAAATTTTGCTCTTGAAAGGCAACCATAGACCCTTGTATTTCTAGAGTGTGGAGAATAATAGTCATACCTTTGTAGACTTCTGATTTCTTAAATTAAAAGTCGGGGAGAGGAGGAGACTTTGCTTGGCATGCCCAGATGGCCAGGCATTTACGCCTGTCCATGGTGGAGGCATGGGAAGTAATTCTCTTCTGTTTGATGATATGATTTGCCTTGTTCACTGACTTTTTTAAGAACTGTGTTCTCTTGCATAACATATTTTGTTAGAAATAAGTTGTACTTTAATATTCCTCTATGAAAAGGTATGGATCACTCTGGAGTGTAGTTCAAAAATGCCAGGTGATTACAAATGTTTCAACTTTTTTCTTCTTTTTGAAAAAAGTCATATAGATTAAACACTACATATTAGGAGATTTACTGGTTTCTTGCACAAAATGTTGTCATTCTAGAAGCCACGTAAGGAGAAGTTTAAAATCCAGGGAGTAGTTTATGCACTGGGGAAATTTGGTGCTTTAAGTACAAAAATGAAATCCACTAATTTCTAACCTGGAGTTTATTTTCTTTCGGTCTGCTAGCTTGATTTCTCAGCTTTGTTCTAATAATATAAACATTTTTCTGTTTATTTATAGGTGGCTTTAACCAAGAGAGCAGATCCAGCTGAGCTTAGAACAATATTTTTGAAGGTCAGTATAAAGAAATCTATTTTGTTTCTTGTTTGATTTGTGTTCTGCAACTTTTTAAGATTGTTTTCAAGTAGATTTTTCTTTCATTGTTATATTTTTTAAAAATTTCAGAAAGTTTCTTTACTTAAGACTTACGAAAGAGATCCTCTATAATTATATCTATTTTTTAAAAATTTATCGGAAACTTGCAGGCGATTGTTTGTGATGGCAACATGGTGTACGTTTTAATTTCTTTTATCTCACATGGTGTCAGATGTTGAAAAGGAGTTGCTCCGGATTTAGTCTCACAACTCCTTTACCTTTCTGGGATTGACCTGTTCAGTTTGATGAAATGCTTTTTCTCCTAAGAAGTTTAAAGCTCTTTGTAAACATCTCAGTAATCCTTCATTCATCTCCTTATCTCTTGTTGGTAGAAGCCCGTCGTTGTTACCACCACCACCACCACCACCATCATCATCTTATTACAACTGTGGTGCCCTGTGAGGAGGCCTCAGTTTGAGTAGTAGTAGATGCTAGATCACAACACACCATATAAATTTGTTTCCTTAGTTTCTTATACTTTCACCTATTTTGTGATATTGGGCAGTGAATGATTAATACTCTAATAAAAGTCTACTTCAGGTCCCAAACACTGAACCGCTTTTAATGTTATTCAACCGGAATTAAAGTACTCAAAAAAGAAAAGGCCACTTATGTAAAGATAATTTAAAAAGTATATATATAGGGCTTTTCTAAACATGGAAAGGCAGCTATGTTGTACATAAACAGGACCAGAGCTTCAAATGAGAAGCTTGATGTTCTGCTGTGTATCAAATATATGGCTTAGAAAGTTATTAATTCTATGAGCATTACTTTCTCATCAAAATGTGTTACTATTTTAAAAAACTGAGAAATTAGGGAGTTTGAACACTGACAGGGTTATTTGATATTAAGGAACTGTTATTGATTTTTAGGCTGGGTAATGGTATTCTAATTATGGGAACTATAAAGAATCTTTTTCTCTTAGAGATACACATTGAAGTGTTTACAGGTGAGATTATCATGTCTGAGATTTGCTCTTCAATAATCCATTTTTGGTGGGATATGCAAAATGGGAAGTTTAGTGATAATTTTTGAAATTGGGGACTGGAATATTGAGTTTATTATACTATTCTCTCTACTTTGCATATGTTTGAACATTTTCATAATAATAAGTTACAAAAAATTGTAAAGACTCAATGAAATACTTTTATGAAAGTGCCCAGCACCTGATATGCATTGGATATTGCCTCCATAAATGCTTGAAATTAAATAATTCAAACACAGGAGAGACAAAGACTCTGAAAGAAAATGGTTAGAAATATGAGTAGTTTTGGGAGGAGGAAAAAAGGATAAATTTATAAGGATGTTTGGTTATATATAAGAAAGCAAAATTCTTTATAAATTTGTTTTTAGCCCAGAAAGGACAATACAGTATTGAGATTCTAAGGTGGAACAGTCTTCTGGATAATCAAAGTCTTAAAAAGAGAAACGCATTTGTTTCTCACGTAGACTAGTGTCTATTGCTGTGCATGTTGGCCCACCATGATTGGGATAAGGTGTGTATGAGGGAACCATAGAACTTTTCAGTATGTGTATTTAAGGTCTATATTGTAAAACTCTAATGATGTAATTCTAGAAGACCACTTGCAGAAGAGTACCTGAGTGGGTTGCCAGAGAGCCTAGAGAAATGGATAAAGCTCATTATGAGCAAAATCATAATCATTTGAACTCAAGACCTGTCTTCTAAGCCAGCCATAGTTGCAGGCATCCTTCTGACAGGAAATGGGAACAACTTAGAATGTCTCAATAGATGGGTGCATCTTGGATACTTATTAGTTTTAAGGTGCGATCTAGTGGAAAGGCTCCAGGTAAAAGCTGTGTCCACCTTTTGAGGCCACGTGGCTGCTGGTTAAGATCCTACTTTGGAACAACATGTCTTTTCCAGCTGCTGCATCTCAATAGCAGGCAAGTCTATACTGCAGACAAATCAGATTGGTCAGGTGGATTCAGGGAGGGTAGGAATTCATTTAGAGTTCTAGAGAGCCCATTGCAGCAGGGTTTCTGTGTAAGTGGGCCTGAAGGCTGGGGTGGAATTTTTGGGACCAGATAGGGAAGTACTGTCTTCCTTTGGGGTGGCTAGGACTACATGGCTTTTGAGTGAGAGTTCCATATGACTTAGAGTCCGAGGGGATGATGTGGGGGGAATCGTCCCTGAAGAAAACAGCGATCAGCAGTTTCTAGAAGGGATTGTGGATCTGGCAAAGGTTCGGGTGATCTCATCAGGCCTGGATAGTGTGGTACCGACACAAATCCACCTTGGCTCAGCATGTTGAGGATCTCTTGTTTACCATCTACCGCAGACGGTGTTGTGGTGGGGGAAGAATAGGGAATGAGGCGCCGCGGGGGCTGTGCCAGGCACGTCTCCACTGTGGCTGGGCTTTTCAGTTTAGTATGGATCAGCAGTAAGCACTCTGTAAACCTACTACTTTGCTGATTTTCTGTGACTTTTTCCTGACTTTTCTTTCTAATAAATATCCCAACCTTCTCCCTGCTAAGCTAGTTAGAGAGAAGATTCTTCTGTAGCTTGGGGGAGGTGAAGAGACGTTCCATTATACCCTTTGGAGCAGATGTGCTGGTAGCAGGGGAGTTGGCAGCTGTGGCGATCAGAGAGAGCCAGTGGAACCGAGACAGATAAGGAAAGAGGGATAATGGAGGACTAAAATTGGACCAGTTCTGGCATATTTCATGTTTTTGAGAAGAGTTAAAATCAATTGCACTTTTTCTTTCTTTGAACTTGCTTACTATATGTTAAATACAGTGTTAGGTGTGGGGAAATAAAGATGCATAAATCATGTCTCCTGCCCTTAACTATCTCACTGTGTGTGTATTTAAATATAAAAAAAGAAAAAGCCGTAATATGGTTGATAAGCCTTGTAATTAGCAGGAAGATGACGTGGGGCTAAAAAACGTCTTCCTGGAGAAGGTCATTCAAGTTACAGAGAGGTGGTGATGTTTGAGCTGGGCTTGAAGATGAGTAGGTGTTTGTCAGATGGAGAAGGTACTGGAGGGTTTGGGGCAAAGGAGAACCATTCCAGGCAAAGGAAACAGCACGTGTAAAGCCAAGAGCTGTAAGAGGTGCTAGGTTTATGGGTGGCTTGGAACCTGGGCTCTTGGGCAGTGGTGCTGGAACGGTAGGTAGGATGAGACTTGGCATAAAACATTCCCAGCCTAGGGCATTTGTGTTTTATTGTGCAGGCTGTTCTTGTGATAAGTGACGGGTGATGTTTTGTGTGGATGTGGATGTTGAAGACCAGGCGTAGTCAGTTGTGTTTCTTAGATGTGGACACATGTTTTTTTGTCTGCCCAGTGCTTTTGGTGCTGCTTCATGTTAAACAGGTATGTATTGAGTGCTTACGGTTTAAATAAAACGCCATGAAGCTTTGCAGCGCATGGTACGTGCACAGTAGGCCTAAGCAATGACTCTGTCTTAAAGGAGTTCAGCTCTTATACAGGAGACCAGATTTATAGGCACGCAGCAGGTAAAAAAGACTATAAGTCAGCATAGTCAAGGGTCCATGTGTGTGCTTAAAGCAAACGCCACAGGAAGTGGACAGAGGAAGCACTCCCCATGGTGGGTGGTGGCCAGAGAAGGCTCCTTGGAGAGGGGACTTGAGGAGCCTCGGGGATGAGAGGGAGCTGGAGAGGCACTGAGGAGGGCAGCCAAGGAGTTCAGGGAAGAGGACCACATTCAAGGGAAGACCTGGAGATGGGTTTGGGAGCAAACAGCCTCTCCAGGTTGAAGGACTCTTGCTCATTCTTCAAATGTTTATTTAAATTCAACTCTGCCAAGGAGTCTGCCAAGTATTACAGGGTGTGGGTGACAAAATTAGAAAGATAATTGGGAGTTTGGCATTTCTGCTAAACAATAGGAAGCTGTTGAAGGTTTTCTGAGTAATCCAGTGACATGGGGAGGATGGGTTTGTGATTTGATTGGCACAGCAAGGCCAGGAGGTCGGCAGCCTTGGGTGTAATCCTGATGTGAGGCCCTAATAACTTGATTAAGGTTGTGGCAGCAGTGGGAATGCAGAATGGGCAAGTTAAAGACATTTTGAAGGACAGTTTGAAGAAAATGACTGATCTTGCATAATGGATGAGAGAGAGCAGGAGGTAAATGTGACCACTGGGTATATAGCCTGCGTGTAAGGAAGTGCCAGTAATAAGAATGGGGAAATTGAGGAGGAAACCATTTGCTCAAGGGAGAGCAAAGGAGGTGATGGGTACTGTTTAGAAGTATAGAGTCAGAAGGAACGGAATGACTCTAGTGGAACATGGGAAGATGGGAAGACTGGGGTAGAAGAACTGGACAAGGAAAATAGACCAAATTACAAATTGTAATAGTGAGATGTAGTGAGTTGAACTTGAGTTTTTATAATTATTGTTTGTCAACAAAAGCATAATATGTTTTTAAAATTTTTAGGCAAAATTGGAAAAATAGTTAATTCCTTTTCTGAAAAACTTTTTTCTTATGACAAAACAGTTCATATTCATTGATGAAAATTTAAAAAGCAGAACTATGTAGAGAAAAGTAACTTGTGGTCCCAACATATATATGAATATACTCATTTATATATAGATATATCCATTTCTCTCTCTGTTTCTGTGTCTCTGTGTATGTATATAAATTTTTTTTTCCTTAACAAGAGAAAAATGTTTGATATCCAGTTTTCTCTGTCACCTAATAAGTTACAAATGCCTTTTTCTATAACTGAATGCATTTCTACAGTATTTTTATTGCTTTATGGTATTCCTATCTATGACTGTTTTACCATAATTTATCTAGCCACTCCCTATTAGTGGATATTTAATTGTCTTCTCTGCTTTGCTGTCATAACAACTCTGTAATGAATACCCTTCAACCTGCGTTTTTGCATATAGCTAGCATTTTCTTGGGATAAATTCATAGAAGTGAGATCATTGGA